TTGCATTAATATTCCCATCTATTGTTTAACAACTTCTGTAGGTAATATATGTGATGCTCAACCTTTTCTTTTATATTTAATTATTGTAATATGTTTTATGTCTGGTTCCTCACCAGATTGCTAAGCAGATTTTTAATGTTAAATAAGTTTTCTGTTGTACATGAAAGCTTGTTGTTTTCTGGTTTTTGGTTTTGTTTTTTTTTTTGTTTTTTTTTTTTTTTAAATTTTTTTTGTGATAAAGATCTAGTTTTTTTAATATTAAAATGATCTAAAGGTTTTTGTTGCTCTTTTAGTTAAATGGGCACCATATACCATCTTTCTTTTCTAGCATTCCCGAAAGAATTAAAATAAAACCTGAAACAAAGTGAAAATATTTACTGTTGTTTTTAGAAAAAGTGATCATAAGAGTCAAGTAAATACTGAAGTCTTTGTGTATAAACCTGCTTGATTTTCTGCCTTTAAAATTTTAACACTTTGAGTCCCTTGTGTAAACTGAATATCTTCAGTTACCAAAAATATTTGGGTTAAAAATACATTAAGGAATTTCACTGCTCCTTAGTTTCAAACCACAAAATTGATTTACTTGAAAGAGAAGTTTTCCAGCATCAGAAGACAAAGATTGGTCTTCATTCAAAAGTACAATGTTAACAATCTAAGGAATTACCTAATTTATTTAGTCTGCACTGATTAACTTCGTTCTTGATGGAGACAGCTGCTATTGCATGTGATGAAAAATGAAACTCCCTGCTATGCTGCAAAGTTTTCTGACTAAATTGGCTGTTTTCCTACTAGTCTCAATGGCCACAGAGAGCATGAAGAAAGAAACACAAGAAAGAAAGACTTGTGGTGTTTTTTAGGTTGTTTTTTTTTCTGTTCTTAAAATTTGAATTCAAACTATCAAGCTGTGTTGATTTGAAAATTGGTGTTTATATTTTATTAATTGTATTGTGTGCTGTGACACATCTGTGAACCTACAACAATTAACTAGCTTATTTTTCCAAGATATGAGTGTTGTTTCAATTATCCTTTTGAAATTTTATTTGTGGCATGCTGTAATTATACCTTGCACATACATTTTGTAAAGTTTCCCATTGAACTGAGAAACTGTGCATTGTGCTGACAAACCCCAGCTTGTCGTGTATGCTGTTTTAAGTGTGCTGTGAAAGCTGGTCCCTTGTGCTCCAAATGTAAATTGGACACAGCTAATTGCACCCACAGCTGGTGAGCAGGTTCAGTGAGTGCCGATTTCTGGAGGGAAATGTGCCTCCACTCCTCATGCCTAGATAGAGCTTTGAGTCCTCCTTTAGATGTGCTTCATTATTGGCAGGGGTAGGCTTCACTGCCACTGCTTCTTATGGGAAAACAGAACATTCTGTATTTGTTGATAGAAACCCAGAAATGTTTTTCTGTTTTGAATGTAGACTATTTCTCATTAATTTCTGTGCAAAACTCACTTCCCAAAACCCTAAGTGTTGAAACTTATTCTGAAAGTAAAAGCAATCTTACACTCTTGTGCTGTTTGTAGAGTCCTTCACTCCAGAGAGAAGTACAACACCTAACACAAAGAGAGGCTGCACTTCTGTGGTGAGCTGCAGCTGCTGAGGTACGGAAGAGGAGAGCTCAAAAAAGGATGTGGTGTTATTATTGAAAATTCAGTCACTCGTGGATGCCTTGTGGGTGCAGTTATGGGAAATGCACAGGGTGTAAACTCAGCAGACATCTGGCGGTGGCAAGATACCAGAGAGGAATTAATGACTGGCTTCTCAGGAGGAGCTGTTTTGGTTAGATGCAGTATCATTGTTACTCTGCCAGATACATGAACATCTTTCCTGGTTTTGAGGAAAAATGACTAAAAGGAAGTTAGAAGGAACAACCAGTTGGTCTTAAGTAGCTGATGCGTTGTCCATTGGAAAATACATTGTGGCTTGGAGAAAATACTTAGTGAGAGCAAGCCTGCATCAGTAATAAAGAAGTTGCCATGAAAGTGAAACTGCATGAACGCCCAAGGCCCAGCCTCCTTAGGACAGTGTTAATCCAACACATTACAGTCTCTGTATCCCACCTAAATAAAACCAACAAAATACAGCTTTAGAATTGAACTACTAAAGAAAGGAGTGAAAACTTTAAAAATCCTATGATAGTTTGCTGATTGCTACACTGATGGCTACACACTGAGATCTCACAGAAGCTTTTGGATTGTGAATTATATAATTTCACACAAAAGAAGTAAACACACACTTTAAATTGCACAACCCAGAAGAAAGAGACCATGAGAAGAATCACCTTATTATATGACAAAACTGCAGGATTTTAATTTACTCATACCATTTTTACTTCAGAACTACTATGTCCCTATTTCTTGGAAACACAACAAATACTGAGGCAAAAGACAACAGAAAGTTTGTTTGAAAATACATGCTATATAACATCACAGATCTAAGGCTTGTACTTTAATGTAATTTAAGACAGTTTCATATTGGAAACCAAAGAATTCACTAAAAAATAAATACAATTACCATGCATCACAGAGGAAGAGAGATTCTCATGTATCGTTTTGCATATAAAACACCTTTTATAAGGACTTGACTTACTGAAACTTTGAAATTGGCAAAGTCAAATATTAAGGGCTCATGCTCCTCAGGATTAGAGGGAGGAAAAATACTTTCTGTGTTAGTATAAAGTAGCTCAGTGTAAAGGAACAAAGTGAACTGCCCCACTGAACAAAGAAGAAGCAGTGAGCTAAAGGAATGTTTTCCTGGGATCTCTATCAGGTTTTTCTTCAAGAGATTTCATGCTCAGCTGAATGTTAGAAGCAGATTATCTACAAACACTTCACTTCTGCTTATGTATTAGATTTCCCTGGTAATAATAGAATATTAAAGCTGTTTTCTTGGTAAGACAAGGCTTCTGATGTAGCAGTAGCCCACCTTTTTGTGTGTCTCCCACATATTTTAGCAGTTGGAAGTACTTAATACATAATCTCTGGTTACAGACAGAGTTTGCAGAGGTAGAAGTGGAGAATTATGTCTAGAGCTATTCAAAGAGATTAGAATTTGCAGTTTGTTTTCAACAGTGTTGGATAACATTCAGGATTGTTTGTTGGTGGTGTTTTTCTGTTGGTTTTAAAACTTTGTGACATATTTAAGCAGATTTTCTGATGTGCTGCTTTACTGAAGTGTCTGCTTTCTCAGCATATATTTCAGTACAGTGTTTTCACAGTATCATGAGCATGTGCTTGGCACAACAAAACTGTCTTAAATTTTTATCTTTTCTTGTCGACCTTAAAAGAGGAAATGTTTTTGAATATTTTTTAAAAAGATGAGTCAACAAGAGACAACTCACATAAAAGGAGTGTATTTTCATGAGGGCATGATGGACACATCATTTCACACAGCATCCCTTGATTTGGATGGATTTTCATCTGCAAATGGCAGTGAAATTTTCCATATAAAAGTCTGATGGCCTTTGCTTTTACTAGTGATATGGTCTCCTTAACAATTAATGACAGTAAAACATGCCAGGAAGGGAAAAGTGTGATCATTAAGAAAGAAAGCGACCCTGTGATGGCAAACCACTTCACTTGTACTAGGAAAGGGAATTGCTCCCACTGTGTTTGCTTTTGTGAAGAAAATGAGTGGTCAGGATGTTTCTCAGGACCAAGTGCATATAGGAGGAGCAGCCACTACTGGATTCTCAATTGCTTAATCCTAGAAGACAGGAGCACACACTGTAAAAGGGACATATCTAGGGTACCTTTAGCAGACAAATGTCTCAAGGGACCTGTTGCTGTGCAGTGTCACAAAGGGCTGACAAAATGTGTAACAGCAGGGGAATTGATGCTGTCACTTCAGCACAGAGTGGTTCTTGGGATTAGACAAGGGACTTTGCTGTATGGGAAGTACAGACACTGAGACATAATGCACAGCAGTGGCATCAAAAGGCAGTCTTGGTGCTCTATTGGCATTCAGTACTAATGACACTTGGTACCACATTCATGGGTTGGTGACAACGTCTTCAATGTGAGTTTACAGGATAAACTATGACAACTGGAGTACTGGTCATTATTTGTGGCAGTGTTGATTAATGCAGCAGTAGGAGTGTCTTGAACTAATTCTTAGTGGTACTGGCTCAGCAAATACATCCAACATGTTCTTTACTATATACACTAAAGTTCAAGGTTTGGGCCTGAGCTCAGCATCTCTGATGGCTCAAAGTGCTGGACTAACAGTAATGTTCAGCAACTTCACTCCCCTACAATGGACATACACAAAAGTAGCTGTGTGAGAGTTTGTTTTTTTTTTTTTGGATATCAAACAAAACTCTCAACAAACAAAAGACCCATTGAAATCCTGGCTTTCTGCTGTAAGACCTTGTCTTCACCAAAAAAATCTCAGTTCGTCTGAACGAAAGCAAGGCATTAACCATAATTTTTTCCTTTAGGAAAAGGGTGGAAGGAGAAATACTTAATGGCAGAAGCTGATTTTGGTGCTGGATGTGCTGCTCTGGAAGGAGCTGCTGCTAGAGAGATCCCTGTGTGACTCCAATACTGAACTGAAGGAGCTCCAACACCTGTGCCTGTGCCAGGGAATTCAGCAGGGACATCACTGCCTGCACGGAAGCACAGACTGATAGTCTCACTATTGCTACAGAGAACTAAAAATTAAGGCAAGATGAGAGCAAAATGGAAGGTATCATCCCAAGTCTTGTCTCCAGCAGGGTCTAAACCAGATACGCAGGGCAGCAGCACGAGCACAGCACACACTGTAACATCACTTTCTCCACTTGTAGTGGTGTGAGCCACTCGTTTTGCCAAGGGAAGTGCCCACACAATTAGTGAAGCTTTTCCCCGCGGGCTCCCCTCGGGCACGGCTGGCCCTGAGCACGGCGCTCCCGCACTCCCCTCACCTCCGGGAGCGCTGGCACCTGCGGGGCGCCACGGCGGCCAAGCCTCCGCTCGCCTCACGATCCTACTGTGCCCGCCACAAGCGGGGAAATCGGCGACAGGGAGGAAAATCGGCGATAGGCACAAAAATCAGCCGCAGCCACCCAGCCACCGTCCCAGCTGGCCCTGACAGAAAGGCGATCCCGCCTCCCGGCCGTGCGCCGCCACAGGCGGGGCCGCGCACGCGTGTCACAGCGGCACTGTAAGTCTCCATTTTGTGTTAATTTCACCCCTTCTCCCTGTCCCCGCTGCGGATCGTTCCGGCGAGCGGGAGGAGCGGGCTGCGGGCCCTGCCGGGGAGCCCCAGGGCAGCGCTGCCCCGCTCCCTGAGGCGCTGCCGTGCCCTCCGCCCGCCGCCCCCTCACGGCCCCACCGTCCTCCTGTCCCTCCCCTCCGGCTACTGAAATACCCTCGTGGGGAGGTTTCGCGCTAATTAAAATTGTTTTATTTGCCCCTCGGGGAGCGGCAGAAATAGAGTGTGTTAAAGCAGATCCATTAATTCCCATGCTCAGCAGAACGCAAGGCACTCGTTGCAACAGCCAGCCCATGCTGGGATCACTGAGACTGAGCAGCCGCTGAAGTTTGAATTTCTGTGTAAGGCAGTAACGCTTAAAACCATTTCAGAAACCTTACGTGCTTTCTCGAAGTGGTCGATCAAATGCTTTTATACCAGTTCCTAAATGATTTTAGCGGAACATGGGTAGGCTGCATGACTATACCATACACTAGATAAAGGTGGCTGTGTTTTTCTGAGGATACCATGTGTCCAAGGAATAGATTCATATTGCAGATTCCTAGTAATCCATTTCAGAAATGAATAAAATCAAGATTAAGGACAAGAAAAAGCCCCACTCCCTACTCCCTCCCTAAAATAGTCCTCTTGTTCTTGGCTGTAGGATGGAACCTAAAATGTGAGCTCAGGGATTTTCAGCGAAAAGTTTTAAGACAAAAAATTATTTTAGGTTTAATTTTTTTTTTTTTTGGGGTGTAGTGTAATTAAAAATCTTACATGATATCATAATCTTAAAAAGAGGAAAATACAAAGTTCAGTTCAAGGAGCAATTGTACAATATGTCCACCTGTAAGCAGTTTTTAAAGTATTTAATTTTTGAATGTTGGATGTTAGTGATTCAGATAAGATATTACAGAACATGTGCTAAAATGTTAATTTTAAATTGAATCACTGAAATGTCTAATGGAAAAATGGCATTAAATATTTTGTATTTTTTCTCAGGACAGGATGTCTCATCTCAAATAAATAGCAGGTCCCCATATTTTATAACCTACATTCACATTTCCTTTCAAATGCACTTTTAGACATTCTGAATAATTTCAAGTCTTTGAATGACAGGAGAGTACTTTTCCTATCTTTAAAAGTTACATTCTGTGTGCTGAAAAATTCAAGCTTAGGTGGAGCTGGCACCTCACCCATGCCCATGGAAACCCTTCCTGCACAGCCCTCTGAGGGACAAGGAGACAGCACCAACAAAACCACTGAGCTGTGCACAGAACCCGTGCAGACAGCTCGCACTTGGATCGCGCTGGAGTTTGGATAAAGTTGGAAAAAGCAGCCTACACCCTCCTGGTACCAGTGCAAGCAGCACTGGGCTAAGGCTGGTTAAAATGAGAAAGCCGTGGAGGAAGCTGTGTTGTGACAGTTCTGTGTTCCCCTTGGCACGCCTTTTGCAGCTGCAGTATGCTTCGAGCTCTGGGCTTTGTGCTTTTCAAAACCCTAACCCTAGGCAGTAAAAGCAGCCTTGAGCTAAGAGACAGTTCTGTGTTCCCCTTGGCATGCCTTTTGCAGCTGCAGTATGCTTCGAGCTCTGGGCTTTGTGCTTTTCAGAACCCAAATCCTAGGCATAAACCTAACCCTAACTGAGGGAGTAAAGGTTTCATGGGGATGAGGCTGGTGGCAAGCAGAAAGCTGTGGAGGGAGCTATATTATGGCAGTTCTGTGTTCCCCTTGGCACGCCTTTTGCAGCTGCAGTGTGCCTGGAGCTCTGGGCTTTGTGCTTTTCAAAACCCTAACCCTAGGCATAACCCTACCCCTAACCCTAGGCAGTAAAAGCAGCCTTGAGCTAAGACTGGTTCCAAGGAAAAAGCTGTGGAGGAAAGCATGTTGTGGCAGTTCTGTGTTTCCCTCGGGATGCCCTTTGCACCTGCAGTGTGCCTGGAGCTTTGAGGTTTTCAGAACCCTAACCATAGGTGTAACCCTAACCCTAGGTGAGCAAGCAAAATTTCCATGGGGTTGAGGCTGCTGCCAAGCAGAAAGGTGGGGAGGGAGCCATATTGTGGCAGTTTTGTGTTCCCCTTGGCTTGTCTTTCGCAGCTGCAGTGTGCCTGGATCTCTGGGTGTTGTGGTTTTCAGAACTCTTACCCTAGTTGTAAGCCTACCGCTGGGCCGAGGAGTATGGAAAAAGCTGTGGAGGGAGCCATGTTTTGGCAGTTATAGCCTATAGACCACACTGCTTTTATCCTGTGTTTGGCTGAGTGCTGGGAAAAGCTGAGTTTAGTTTACTTGTCAATTTCAGCACTTACTGTGAAACCTTTAGTTTATTTCTTTCGGCTTGATTTTCTTTTATTTTTTTTCCCTTGTGAGACATTTCAACAGAGGTGCTGCTAGTTTCATTCAATGGGAACTGTTGCTTTTTCAAGTATAACACTTGTAATGCAAGTTCTAATTCAATCGCTTCAAAAAGTGCTATTATAATAATGCTAATTTAATTGGTATTGTAGTTTTGAGAAAACTTAGAAGAAATAAGGCAGCAATATGTGAAAGCTGTGGAGCATACTTGTTTTCATTCACTTATTTATTAAACATTTAATCCATTTTTCAGATGCTTTTATTCAGTTTATAATTTTGTTTTCTTTGTTATGGCTTTTTTTCTCAATATTAGAGTGCAATGAGAAGAATATGTTACACAAAGCCTGTAGTTACAGTAATATATTTTAGTTTGACAGCCTTTGAACCATGTGTTTGCAGTTTCCATTGACTTTGCTAGTGACCAAGTTAATGCTTTTACATGTTGGGAAAATTGGAGGATATAGAGATGCTATTGGAAACAATGGGTCAACTCATGTAATTTAACACTGAACATGGGATTATCCACTTGTCTTGCATATTACAACTGTGTATGTATTTTATAGGATTTGCCTTTTTATAGTTACAATGTATAATCCTCTCATTCGTTTTGTCATCTGTCACATGAAGCCTTTTGTGAATTTGCAGAAAATTGAATTATTCAGTTTTATACATGTCAGTCATTCTTTCTTCTCCAGAATCTGCAGATTCAATTATGTCAATTACATTTATTTATATTATAATTTTGCCTATTTCTGCAAAGGTTAAAAATATTGTCACTTTCCAACTTTGTCAGCTGATTTGTGTATAGAACCTCTTTAGTGTGTAAATAAACAGCTTCAGACAAATTGGCCATGCTTACTACAGAGGGCCAAATGTTGATATGTTAAGTCTCCAAGAAAAGCGTTGTTGACTTCTGTACCTCAGATCCTAACAGGAGAATGATTACAGAATGCAAATTGATTACTTTCAAATATTTTGGTGCTGTGTAGGCAATGTTTTATTTTGTGCATCAATCTAAGTTGATCCAGTTGATCCAGTATCATCCATATATTCTCCTTATTAAAATAATATCTCAAGTGTCTTTTTTGCCTTCCTGTAGATATTTTATCACTTAGATTAAAGTTATTCTTACAGGGCTACATAGTTTTGTTGCTTTGTTATTTCCGTAAGCTCTAGGGGGAGATGGACGCTTTAAAGAAAGTCTTAATAAATTACATTCATTCTTCTTGTCTTTCTCAACTCCACCAGTAATTTATCAAATAAAACTCTCAGACATGTTCGGTGCAATGTGTTCCTTGTGCATCCTTGCAGTTTATAACTCATGTTTTCCAAGTGCAGTATTCAAATGCATATGTAATTTTGGTTTTTTGTTTGCTTGTTTGTTTTTTATTTATTTATTTCTTTTTAAGGTCTAACCAAATTTTAGTTTGTTTTGTTTGCTGATAAGATGCCTGCTGGGTTCCTTTGGGTACCAGGGAGGGAAATATGATTGTCTCTAAAGCTACAGGATAATTCTGAGTATCCATGGTAAACAGTCAATGTTAGATTTGAAGCCTTTCACTTTTGCATGTAAGTTTTTGTAGTGAAGAAGTAACCTCTCCACATAATAATGTGCACACAAACTACGGATGAAATTGGGTTGTATGGGAAAAGCAGCTTCATAATCAGCATTTAAGAAGCTTTACTGGTAAAAAGGGAACTTGCATTGGTTGAATATGATTCCTGTTGGAAAGGGTTGGATCTGGCCCTGATTGTGCCTAACCCAGCACCCTCAGTGTCCCTGCAGTGCCACTGGGGGCTGTGCAATTAGATTTCACTTGTGCTTTCTGTGAAAGGGTTTCTGCAGAAGCCCTTCATTAAGATTAGTTCCTCCTCCCTTCCCTTAAATTCCAAGACGGTCTGCTAACTGAATTCCTACATGGAACAGACTGGAAAATTGTTGAAAGAGCTCTCCTCCACCAGTGCTTGGACTGTGAGGGCGAATCCCAAGCTGTAAAAGGCCCCAGAGTGGAGGTTCCTGAGACTGTATTCCCTGAGGGGGATGTGTCAGGGTGGGAGGAATGAGGGTACCTGCAGAAAGGAGCAGGTGTTTGCACAGGTACCTGCAGGTTGTTACAGGGTAGAATTTTTCAAATTTAGAGAGCACTTCTGAAGGCCTGCTCCTCTTGGAAATGGCATGGCTATTCTAGTAGCAAATTTGAAAAATTGTAAAGAGGTCTTGGGAAAAAAAGCTGGTTTTAATCTTTTGGACAATACTAAAGAAAATGTCCTAATTGTGAGATTTAAATAAACTTTTTTATTTTATTCAGACTGTGTGCTTCTCCTCTCATCAGTTTGCACTGCAATACTGAATATTCCCAGTGTAGCTCATCGGATTTGCATTGTAACACATAACAACAGCTGCATTTTTCTGCTTCACATTTGTAGCTTCTCCAAAGTACAGAATTCCTGTATTGGCACTGCAGTGATGCCTGTTACTTTATCAAAATAATAATGCTCTGTCTTAATGAGGAGCCAAAAACATTTGTATCAATTCTTCTGAATATAAAGATTTTTTTAACATTAATGTTTGCAGAGATTTAACAAGGTCTTAAGTCACTAAAAACCGGATGTGTCTG